GTTATGTTCCAAGGCGCATCCACTTTTGCAAACATTTGACGATTGGGTAACGAAATGGCGAAAACGTTTTTAGGGGTGCATGCGCAATTTGTAGTTTCGCCCAACGGCTGCCTATTTCGCGGTCCAACCGTTGGAGACCAAATTTATCGCGCCAAAAAGAATGGATTGGACTAGGAATTGACAATTGCCTACTCAGCACACTGTTACGAAAAAATCAGCCAAGAGATCTCATCCACGAATCGGACGATTTCCGCAAACAGTAGGACAAGCATCCCCTCCAAGTCCTTCTTTTTCGACCCTGACTCCACCTCCTCCCAAAGTAGTAAACTCGTCAAAACGTTTGTACGCCCCTAAGGTAGCCTACCTTAGAGCCAAGTATTCTCATAGATCCGCCCTCCAACCTTGCCTCCCCGTTGCCTCGACATATTTTCGTAGAATCCACATTCTTCTAACATCAACCCACCAGAATATGCGCTTTCTTCATTTCGTTCCCTCCAATCCGCATCCCTTTAGTAGTCCCCGACAGAATCCTCGTCTCTCTAGAAGCAACTCAACAGATTCGGGGGTTATTAACGAAACATGGGAAATCCGCTTCTCCCTACACTCTCGATCTGCCTCTATTCGAATTTCAAACCCACCCACCCCCTCTTGAGTCGAATCCGCCATTCCGCCCTAATGCTAATCGAAATCGCCCTATCTCCACCAAATTCGCGATTCCGCCCTAATGCTAATCGAAATCGCCCTATCTCCACCAAATTCGCGATTCCGCCACAAGATTTCACCAAATTCATCCGCCTTCCTTCCATGGCGATGGAGATTTCCCTATCACTTGGTGCAGATTTGGCTCAATTCCGCCACGAGTCCATCGTCGATTCCTCACGCGAGTCCGAGTCCTACGAGTCGAGTTTCCTCGAGTCTGGGCCCCCAAATTTGACTCGACTTGTTGCCATTTGACGAGGCGAGTTCGAGTCCAGACTCGCGGAATCGGGCTCGTTGAACAGGTTTACGACCGGCTGCCGGGCCAGATACCCATTGGCCTAGTTCCTTAGATTCATATCGTGTCATGCAGTAGCCTTCATGGACACATCCCTGGCTTAAAAAAAAAAAAAAAAAAAAAAAAAAAAAAAAAAAAAAAAAGCTCACGATCACGTTTGGTGGACTTCGCGCTCACTCTGCCCAGCATTTACGAACCTTACCCCATCTTTTCGTTGGATTCCATTTGCAAAACTACTCACGCATGACCTCACGGGGCTTGGTGATCCCTTCGAATATGCAGTGATGGACCGGACGGTCTCAACCATGCGCGGGCGCCTGCGAGACGCACTACCCTGGTGGCGTTCGTGGTGCACCAGTAGCTTGATCATATCAGTAATTGACAGAGGCTACTGGATGCCTTGGAAACAAGGGCCCCCACAATTTTTCCGGAGCACCAATCATGCGAGGGCTTAAATTCACGAGGCATTTACGAAGTCCGCCATCGCGGATCTCCTCCAAACCGGCGCCGCACCAAAGGTGCCAGAACCAACGCTCACATGCGTCAGCCCTCTCAACGTCGTGGAACAGCGCGACAAATGTCGTCTCATCCTCGATCTGCGCAAGGTCAACCAGGAGCTGCAAATTCCAAAATTCAAGTACGAGGGACTCAATCGCGTTGCAGAGTTGGCGCGTGCAGGCGATTGGATGTTTTCAATCGACCTGAAGTCTGGCTATCACCACGTCGACATTCACCCGTCGTGTTGGAAATTCCTGGGTTTCCAATTTGGCGGGCACTCATACTATTTCCGCTCCCTTCCGTTCGGACTGGCTACAACACCGTTCATCTTCACGCAGTTGATCAAGCAACTCGCGCGCCGCTGGAGAACAATGGGAGTGCGTGTTATACCGTATGTGGACGATATCCTCTTCCTTTGTCATTCGGAAGCCGACGCCCGGGAAACGTGCACCCACATTATCGGTGATCTTTGCAAGGCGGGCCTCGTGATCAACGCCAAGAAATCCCACCTTCAACCAACCCAGCGCTTACGTTTCCTGGGCTTGGAACTCGATACCGAACTCGGCCAATTCTCTGTGGGTCCGGAACGGCGGGCCACACTGCAGGCTACTATTCAGTCGCTCCTGGAAGCCGGACGCAGCCAGTCTAAGGTCCCCGTCCGGCACGTCGCGCGGGTTACTAGTATGCTTGCTTCGATGTCTCTTGCGCTTGGGGCCACTGCCAGGGCATTCAGCCACGCTCTACTGCAGACCATCAATGACGCTCCCTCCTGGAACAGCAGAGTATTGCTCTCACCTATTGCCTGCGAGGAGTTGGAATTCTGGTCAACCAAGTTTGACCACTTCAACGGCGCCCCATTTCATGTGCGCTGTAGCTACGACGCTGTAATTCACGTCGACGCGAGCAGCCACGGCTGGGGGGCTACTCGCAACACGTTCTCTGGCAACCTTGATGAAGCCAGCATGAACATGCCCGCCGCTTTGCAACACACGTCCAGTACCCGTCGAGAGATTGAAGGGGTTCTATGGGCACTGCGGACATACATCGACCTACTCCGAAACAAGCATGTGCTCGTACGAGTGGAGAATCAGGGAGTTTTTTTCATATTGAAGAAGGGTGGCTCATACAGCTCTGATCTCACCATCGCTTGCAAGGAGATCATTCGCACGTGTACTACCCACCGAGTCCGCCTCATGATGGAGTGGATCCCTCGCGAACTCAACACATATGCGGACAAGCTTTCCAAGATCCTCGATCGCGATGACTACACGCTGAAAACGCCGTAGTTCAACATCCTTGACCGGCGCTGGGGTCCCCATTCCATTGATCTCTTCGCCAATGCTAGCAACGCCAAGCTGCGTCGTTTCTGTTCCGAAAACCCGCACCCTGCTGCTACGGCGATCAACGCTTTCACGATATCTTGGTCGGCAGAACACTGCTTTGCCTTCCCCCCACCTCAACTGATCCCCGCCGTCCTCCACCATGCGCAACGTACACACGCGTTTCTCACCCTGGTACTTCCCCACTGGCCCGGCGCCAGCTGGTGGCCACTCCTCCAACCCTCACCGCCAGCCTGGGCTAGCTTCATCAAATCTCACATCCGACTCACGTACGGAAGCCAATACTTAGCCACAGGCACACACACTAGCGCCTTCTCCGGCTCTGGTCTACCTGATAGCCTCATGCTCGCTCTGCAAGTCACGTTTCCCTAATGTCTGCCTCCCCGCCTGTATCGCAAACATATCTAATCCCAACCCTGCAATGCGAGCTGCTCTCGGTCATGGCACAAACGCGCACACACTCCACAATTCGAACTTACGAACCTTACTGGCAGCAGTTTCATTCCTTCTGCATCAAGGTCAACCTTCCCTTCCTGCCAACCGCGGACATGACACTCGCCTTGTACCTTGCCTATGCAATTCGAAACAAGGCCACTCTCTCAGTGCTACAACTCACATGCTCGGCCGTCAGCTTCGCTCACCGCATGATTGGGGCATCCTGCCCCAGCACTGGCCCTTTCACGTCACAAGTTCGAGAATTCGCCAAGCGACAGTGTCCCCGGCCCAATTGGACCAAGGAACCGGTCTCTTTACATCAAGTGCACGAGATGGCTACTCACTTCATCGGTGCTAACGACCCAGCCACATTCCAGAAAGGTCTCATTCCCCTTCTCATGTACGTCGGATTTTTGCGTCACTCCGATCTCGTGGCCATCAACTGGGAGGATATCCAGTTTGAGGATGACGTAATGTGGCTGCTCATCCCGCGCTCCAAAACGGACCAGGCAGGTCAGGGCTCATGGGTTCCTGTTGCTGCCGTCCCAGGACCCCTCTGCCCTGTCCGAGGCACCAAACGCTTCATCCGGTTGGCAGGCTATGGACCCACCACTCCCGAACCCTTAATCCGGGTGTTCGGCGTGGCCGCAGGTGGCGTCCCCACCAGCAAGCCGCCATCATACACCACCATACGCAACTGGTGCAAGGAGGCTTTCCAGTCCATCGGCCTGGGTGAGCATCACCTCGGCACCCACTCGTTTCGCAAAGGCGCTGCGACCGTCGCTGCCTACGGAGGCGTAGCGGACCGGCTCTTCAGACGTCTTGGCCGATGGCGCAGCGACACGGCCAAAGAAATGTACGTCACACCCGCCGTCGACCAACTGGTTGCGGCCTCCCGCAACGTACAGACCCTCGGGTCGGCACCATCCCCGGCACAACATTCTCGAGCTCTTGTACGCCACCGACAGCAATCTCCCTCCATGTCTCAGGTCAACCCAGTGGAATGAGAACGATGCCATTTGCACTACAAGTAGCGAGTTTTGTCAATATATAACATTTTAAAGTGTTCACACTTTCAAAATTGTGTATTGTGAATGCGAAGCTGCTTGTAACGCAATCTAAGGCATCGTCGAAGCGCGCTATTCGCCCTTCTCCAACCATATAATGGGGTTGGAGGTCATTCTTCCTCCACCCACGTTTTTCATTTTTCCCAGCTCAAGTTCAATTCCCGCCCACCCAACCCGCTTCGTCTACTCTCTTCAACATGCACCGCTTCGGTGGATCATCCTCGGCATAGACATATCCCAGTGTAGACAGTTTAGAAAGTTTATGCTAATAGATTAATATATTGGGAACTCTTTGTACTTGATGCTAGTGGAATGAGAACGATGCCATTTGCACTACAAGTAGCGAGCTTTCTCAATGGCTAGATGAAGCTTTTATGATAACACAACACACCCATGCTACTACACTTAGGGCGGGTCCAAGTGGTACGTCTGATTGCGGTGCAGGAACTTGCTCAAAGCGCTAAATAGCAACCTAGAATGGTTGGGTAGGGTATTTTGCAAAAACGAATTATTTGGACCCGTCCTTAGTTGAGAATGTTTTATATTTAGGACCTAGGAACCAGGTTAATACAAAGTGTTCCTTTCCAGCTGGATTACACTCCGCACGAACACTTTTTCCCCAATGGGCGTTTCGAAGTTTCGAACCCCGGCAGAGTTTCGCGCCAAAATCAGGCAGGCACGCACTGACCTCCTCTTGTCGCTCTGGCGTGCGCGTAACGCTACTCCATTCAAATCCCTAGGCTCGCGCGCAAACACCCCTCCCCCTCCGCCTCTCCCCCTCTCCCCCTCACCCCCTCCCCCTTTTCGCTGCCCATCCCCTCAAGAAGCGAGCGCCACGGCAATGTACCGCGTGCCAGCCCTGGGCTTTCCTCTCCACCACTGGAGCAAGCAGCATGCAGCGCGCTGAAAGCAGCACGTGTAGTGCAACTCGAAAACTGGAGCTCGCTCGCCCACACGGGATAGGCTCACACGGCATAAAGCTGAGCCCTGAGAGTGAGTGGGCTTACCTTAGAAACCATCGCGCCCTTGGCTAGTGGCTGTTTTTTGTGGGGGCGAATCTCCGCGGCCGACGTCAGCTCACAGCTAGTCGCAACCAGGTCAGCTCGCAGCTAGTCGCAACCAGGTCATCAGACCTCGAGCTTTCCCAATGCGGGCAGTTTGACGCCTCGACATTATTTTTCTTTGCGAGCCGATAGAATTTTCTTGAGTTTCGTTTCTCGATTTTAGTTTTTACATGCCCTGAAACCATCCGTCGGCTCTACTTGCTCTCCCCGCCTCCTCGAGCATGTCGCTTCTTCTAAGCCGTCGGATCTCAAGTATACTGCCCAGACATTGCCAGTTGTGCACAGAGGATAGGTCCGCACAGATACTCGTAGAGCTCTAGGGACCAGCGTGGCGAGCCAGAGCGAGACAAATCCCCGTGGTTCCTTACGGTTCCCCTGACAAATTTTCTGTCCAGTTGCCCGAATCGTTCTGATCCTCACGCTTATGAGAGAGGAAAAAACTGCAGAGCTGGCAGGAGCCGACCCTCTCTCTCTCCATCCGCCAGCGCACGGAACAGTCTCCAGTCTACTTGCCGTGACAAAGTCTCTTACCGGTTTCCCTCCCAGCTATTCTTCCTTGGGTTTTCCCGTCTATCGATTCCTCCTCTCCGTGTAAACCGCCGTACGTACCGCTGCCGGCGACGATCTCTGTGCGCGAGTAACTTCCGGATCGACAGTAATCGCTGCCTTCTTGGACCGTGCCGCGACGTGCAGTGACAGTGTCTCGACGTTTCTCGACAGTAATCGGTGCCGTTTCATTCTCGCGTCCCGCACTCAGAAAGATCTCTGCAGACGGTGCATCTCGCTCGCTGCTGACCGTGGATCGCCGTATCTCGTCCGTCCTCTCACTCTGCTGCTCCTTGGCGGCTGCTGCTTTGCTGCAAGGCGTCGTGGAGCGGTTAAGGCACGATGTACATTAAGCAGGCAAGTGAAGCGCGCCGTGCCTTGTGCGTATTCCTCAGCCCACGCATGCCGTCGCCAGAGTTTTTTGCTTCGAGTCGGAAAGCTGTTTTACACGCGGTTGGCTTGGTGCTCTTACCTGTCGTTTTCCTCGATGTTTTGGATCGTTGCTGACGTGGTTGACATGTCGACTTCTTTATGGCCTGGTTTACTGCAGGCTTGACAAATCATTAATAATCTCGTTGCACTAAATTACTATTTATTTTGGATGAGAGCCTTTCTTGCGTTTGACACCTCTGTTGTTCCTTGTTTTCTCCTCTTTCTCCATCTTCCCAGGTTATCATCGAGGGTTTCAAGAGTTACAGGGAGCAAGTAGCCACCGAGGAGTTTTCACCAAAGATTAACTGCGTCGGTGCGTCCTTATCAAGACCGTTGCACCCTCCTTTCTCTCTTAGTATACCAATTTCGTGTACCCTGGGATTTTTTGGTGCCGATTTGAAGTTCTGATCCCATTTATGGATTTCCTGTGCCCTTATGGGTTCTCTTCTCGCTTAGTGTTTGCCTACAGCTATTTTCCTGGGTACATTTCGTATGCATAAGGCCACTCATGCGCCTGACTCCACAGATTCGGTCAACGTTTTCTCTACTCATTTTTCTTCACTCCGTCTCGTTTTACTCTTCTCTGTTTTTTTTTTCCCTCTTTTTTCATTTGTGCAGTTGGTGCTAATGGATCCGGCAAGACGAATTTCTTCCACGGTATTCTTCCCTTCCTCCCGAGCCTCCTCGAGCTGATGCGATCTGTTTCGTTGTAGCGTTGTTTGTTCTTGCTGCTCTCATGGCCAGAATGAATGATCTGTCTGTTCTGATGGCCTTCATCTGTCGAAACCTGCTGCTCCATGGCCTGTTGCTGTGTGGCCAAAACCCTCGAAAATATTAAGCCTTTTGTACCTGCGGGCAGTTATGTGAACGGGAGCAAGCTCCAAAACGTTATGTGGAAAGAGCTATCTTCTACTGCAATTGGAGCTCCTTATTCCTGTATGCTACTCAAGAAATAATTGTTTTTTTGGTTTTTCTCCTGTGCTCTCTTTCTGTCGAATTGCAGCCATTCGCTTTGTGCTGAGTGACCTCTTCCAGTCGCTGCGAAGTGAGGACCGTCAGGCCCTGCTGCATGTGAGAGACCATACTGCCTGTGCCTCTCTTCCCCTGTGCCTCCGTCTCCGTGCCTCCATCTCCGCGCCAAGTGCCTTCATGTCTCCCTTAGCTGCTGCATCTAGGTTCCTGCATGTCTCCTGTTACTTTTGCACACCTCCAAATTTTGTTGTTAGGTTTTTTTCTTTGTTGAAACAAGTTATTTGTGACTAGGGATAGCGTGTCTTTCCTGCCGCACCTCTTTTGTGCGTTATCCTTTCCCATGGTCCTTTGTACTTGTCATCGACAGAACATACATTTGGGAGTGTGGCAAACATGCACCATTCGTTCTCTCCTCTCCATCGTTTTTCTCTCTTTTTCTGGTTGGTTGTTGCAGGAGGGCGCAGGGCAGCAGGTGGTGTCAGCGTTTGTGGAGATTGTGTTTGACAACTCGGACAGCCGACTGCCGGTAAGTGCTTGCTTGCCGGACATGGACTCCCGCGAACCAGTGTATCTGTAGCCAAAAGAAATGCTAAGTTGTGCCTTTGATTCCTGCTGACTTCTCTCCCTCTCCTCCTGTGCATGTTTGGGAATGAGTGTGCGTGTGTGTATCTGTGTGATTTTGTGTGTGTGTGTGTGTGTGTGTGTGTGCGTGTGTGTGTGTGTGCGTGCGTGTGTGTGCGCCCGCGCCTGCTGACACCCGCACCTCTCGTGCAGGTGGACAGGGAGGAGGTTCGGCTGCGGCGTGCCATCAGCGGGCGCAAGGATGAGTACTGGCTCGATCGCAAGCACATCACGTATGTCCCGGCCTGCCTGCTCCTCCCACGCTTCTCCTCCGCGCTGAATCCATGCGCCTCTTTCTTGCTCCTTTCTGGTTCTAGCCGTCCTACTGCTCCTCTGGTGATTCTCCTATGCCTCCAATTTTACTCTTCTCTCTCTCTGCTCTCTCTGCTCTCTTTGCTCTCTCTGCTCTCTCTGCTCTCTCTGCTCTCTCTGCTCTCTCTCTCGCTGTCTTTCCCCTGTGTTGCCTCATTCGTGTGTATGCAGCAAGCAGGAGGTTCTCAACCTTCTGGAGAGTGCTGGCTTCTCGCGCTCCAACCCGTACTATGTGGTGCAGCAGGGAAAGGTGTGCGCCCTTGCCGCTGCTCTTGTGCATTTTGCGTCGACTCAAAGTACACCTTTAGGAGAGTGCTGGCTTTTCCCGCTCCAACCCGTACTATGTGGTGCAGCATGGAAAGGTGTGCGCCCTTGCTCTTGTTCGTGTTTCCCACCTCCCTTAAGCTCTGGTGGTGACTGCTGGTTTTCCGTTCTTCTCCTTTCCCATGCGCACACTCCTCTCCTTATTTCACCCCACTCTCTAACACTTCTCTCCACAACACCTCTGGCTGCGTCTCCCCAAACCACAGCCCTTTGACCTCCTCCCCTTCCCCTCCGCCCTTCCCTCCCCCTCCCCCCTTCCCTCCCCCCCCCCCCACCAGATCGCCTCTCTATCGCTGATGAAAGACGCGGAGCGGCTGAACCTGCTCAAGGAGATAGGAGGCGCCTTTTGAGTCGACTCAAAACAACACCCCCCCCCCCCCTTCCTCCTTCCCCCTCCCCCCTCCCCCCTCGCCCACTCTCCCCCCCCCTCCTCACCCCCCCCACCGCCCACCCTACAGATTGCGTCTCTATCGCTGATGAAGGATGCGGAGCGGCTGAACCTGCTCAAGGAGATAGGAGGGGCTCGTGTGTACGAGGAACGGCGCAAGGAGAGCCTCAAAATTATGCAGGAAGCAGGTGGGGCTGGTTGCTGGATGAGGGCTTTAGGGCTGGGAGGGCTTTAGGGCTGGGAGGGCTGTAGGGCTGGGAGGGTGGGTGGGAGGGGTGGGTACCGCCTGATAAGAGTTTTGGTGTCAGGCCTGGTTGGTCAGGGTTGGTCCGGTTTGGTTGGTCAAGGGAATTTACTTAAAGCTGTTGTGGATAAGTGCCTGTCTCTTGCCAATGATTACCTGCTTGTGCTAATTTTGCTTTCTGCCTCACTTTCGTCTACGCATGCATCTCTCCCAGATCACCCTCTCTCCTCCTCGCTCCTCTCCAACCGTCAACCCTCACAGCTACCCCTTTCGGAGGATTGTTCGGGCAACAGATCACAGAATTCCTGTTGCCCTTCATTCTCTCCTCCCTCACCTCTCCCTCTCCCTTCTCTCCCTCACCTCTCCCTCTCCCTTCCCTCCCTTCTCTCCCTCACCTCTCCCTCTCCCTTCTCTCCCTTCTCTCCCTTCTCCCCCCAGAGGTGCGTCGGCAGCAGATTGCAGCCTTCCTGGCGCACATCGAATCCCGGCTCAAGGAGCTCGACGAGGAGAAGGAGGAGCTAAAACGCTTCCAGCAGCTGGACAAGCAACGCCGGTCGCTGGAATACGCCATCTTTGAAAAAGAGCTCGCTGAAGCGCGGGAGCAGCTGGAGAGCGTGGAGTCGCGGCGGCGGCAGGTGCAGGATCGCACGAGTGGGACGCACGAGAAGGCGCGGGAGAGGCAGGAGGAGGTGAAGGAGGTGGAGAGGCAGCTCAAGGCGAAGAACAGGGAGCTGCAGGGGCTGGTGCAGGAGCAGGAGGGGGTCGAGGAGCAGCGGAATGAGGGCATGCGCGCGTGCACGCGGCTGCAGCTGGACGTGAGGGAGCTCGAGCAGGCTCTGGAGGCAGACCAAGGGCGCAAGGTGGGTCCTCCCCCCTCCCTGCCTTCCCCCCTCCCTGCCTTTCCCCCAGCCTTCCCCCCTCTCACCTCCGCCCCTTCTCCCCTCCCTTTCCTTTCCTGTGGGCAAGGCGGCTGCAGCTGGATGTGAGGGAGCTAAGGCTGGCACTAGAGGGGGGCCAAGGGCGCAAGTAGAGTGAACTATACCCCCGCGCTCCTCTCCCGACCCCCCCTCCCGCCGAGCTTCCCGCCCCCCCCCCCCCCCCGCCTTTCTCTTCCTCCTATCGACTGTTTTCTTGCTTCCTCCAATTCATCCCCTTAGCCAGCCTTGTACCTCATTTACCACGCTCGTTGACCTGCAGATTGATACCGACACATACTCCTTAGGCCCTCGCATTGCATTCAACCTCTTCGTTCCCCCTTGTCACCTGCGCAGCAAGAGCTAGCAGCAGAGCTGCAGCAGCTGCAGAGGGACGTTGCCAATCCCAGATCGGAGTCTCCTCAGAATTAACTCTCAACCTCTATCCATTTTCTCCGTGCAACCCTCTCTGTACTTTCCTCACCTTTCTTCTCCTTCCGTCTGGCTGGCAGCGTGAGCTAGAAGCAGAGCTACAGCAGCTGCAGAGGGACACTGCCAAGCCCAACTCTAAATCGCCTAGAAATTAACTCTCAATCTCCTTTCCTTTCCTTGAATTCCTCTCCTTGCATCTCCTTTTCGTCTGGCAGCAAGAGCTAGAAGCAGAGCTGCAGGAGCTGCAGAGGGACATTGCCAAGTCGAATGCGGACCTGGAAGCCATTCACCCGCAGCACCAGCAGCACATGGCAGAGGAGACGGCGCTCAATAAGAGGTGGGGCGGGAGGGGTTGATGGTTGGTTGCTGATGCCTGCCTGGTCGTTTGTGCTGGGTGGGGGAAAGAGAAGGGCAGAACGGATGCTTTAGGCTTTTGAGAATTCTAAAAAACGGATGCAAGGGAGTTTTTTTTTTTTTTTTTAGGAAGGGTCATACAGAGGCTGTGTGTTACAGCTGGCTGCAGGGTATGTATGGAGCTGGACAGTTGCCGTGTTCGTCTTTTTGTCAGTCCTCGCGCCCTTCCTGCCCAAATCCCTCCTCATCTTCCAGCCAATCGCCTCTGCCAATCACCCGAAACTCCAAACCCTGAACCCCCTCCTGCCCGCAGGCTTGCGGAGTGCTCGCGGCGTCTGGACGCGTTGTACGAGAGGAAGGGGCAGAAGGCGCAGTTTAAGAGCAAGGAGGAGCGGGACCGGTGGCTCAGGCGCGGGATTGCAGAGCTGGAGCAGCTGGTGCAGCGCAGCGCTGTGCAGGTGGGTGGGTGAGAGGGAAGAGAGAGTGTAGTCGGTGTGCCTTGCCTTGTGCATTTTGGCTTGTGGCACTAAGTAACAAGCTGAGCTGGAGCAGCTGGTGCAGCTCAGCGCAGCACAGGTGGGCATGAGAGGGTGCAGAGGAGATGGGTGGAAAGGGGCCAGGCAGGTACGAGAGGGGCATTGCTCATATTGCCCCTCCGTGCTCTCCTCCTTTTTTTATACACTTTCAATTCCTCCTTCCCTTCTATGGATCCCACATGCACTGTCTGGCACCGTGTATCCTGCTTGTACCTGTCTCCCCAACCCTCCCTCTCCTTCCTCCTTTGTTTGCTGTTCTCTGCTGCAGCTGAGGGGTCTAGAGTTGGAGAGTGAGAGGCTGAGGCAGGTGGGGCAGCAGCTGCAGGAGGAGATGAACCAGAAGGGCCAGCAGGTGGGGGAGGCGGAGGCAGAGGCTGCTCGGTGCGCGGAGGAGATGCGAGGAGCCAAGGCGAGAAGGGATGAGCACAACAGCCGCCGCAAGTAAGTGTTCTGGGCTAGGGGTTGGTTCAACCCTTGCAGCTGGTGGATGCGGGCCTTAACTTTGTGCTGAGTGCCCCCTCTCCCCCACCCACCCACCTTTCCCCGTCCCCCCCCCCTGTCCCATGCTCGCCCATAATTCCCCTTGATAATTCTTCCCCCTTTTAACCCGTATCTCTCTTGCTGCTGCCTCTGCCTCGTCTGCTCTCATCCATGCTTCCTGCTCGCTGCCTGCTCCACCCGACCTCCCACTGCAGACAGCTGCTGAAGCAGGAGGCGGACCGTTTGAGAATTCTCACAAGTCTTCCTATGCTGCCTTCTCTCTCACCGCTTTCCTTGCCGTGTAAAACGGTTACGACCTTAATAAATCCTTAAACCTTCTCTCTCACCGCTTTCCCCCCTCCCTTCCATCGCAGACAGCTAATGAAGCAGGAGGCCGACCTATCGGCAGAGGTGAAGCGAGTGAGCGAGGACAAGGACAGGGCGGAGGGGCAGCTTGACAAGTCCACGCCAAGGGTACGTTGGGGTATATTCTAAGGTTACGGGCATGCTGCTCCGGATAGTATCTTGCTTCTAACCGCCTCGCCTCTCCCCCCCTGCCCCCTCTCCTCCTCCCCTCCCACCTCTCCCCCCCTTTCTCCCCACCCCCTTCCCCACCCCCTTCCCCGCCTCCTCTCTCCCTCCTCCCCCCCCCCCCCCCGCTCCACTTCTCTCCCCTTCGCTTCCCCCCCATCAGGACATCCGCCGCGGGCTGTTCTCGCTGCGGCAGATCGTGCGGGACCATTCCATCCGCGGGGTGCACGGGCCACTGCTGGAGCTCGTGGGGTGCGACGACAAGTTCGTCACGGCAGTCGAGGTCACCGCAGGCAACAGCCTCTTCAACGTGGTGGTGGATAACGACGAGACTGCCGCCCGTCTCGTGCGGTACCTGAACCAGCAGAGGGGCGGGCGGATCACGTTCATTCCGCTGAACCAGGCGCGCGCGCCCACTGTGGCGTATCCGGAGAGGCAGGACGTGGTGCCGCTGCTGTCCAAGGTCAAATTCGAGCCGCAGATTGCCGCTGCATGCGGACAGGTGAGAGAGAGGGAGGGAGTGAGGGATGGAGGGAGGGAGGGAGGGAGGGAGAGGGAAGGTAGGGATGGGAGACCAAGGGGAGAGGAAAGGGGTGATGAGATGGGGGAAGCTTTTGGCTCGTGCGATACCTGAACCAGCAGAGGGGCGGGCGGATCACGTTCATCCTACTGAAGCATGCAGGTGCCCTGAGCACCAGGACGTGGTGCCGCTGCTGTCCAAAGTCAAATGCGAGCCACACATCTCTGCTGCCTGCGGGCTGGTGAGAGATACGGGAAGGAAGATGGCAAGCGATGGGGAGGGGGGGAGGGTAGGGAGGAGAGGGGGAGGGGTACAGGAGGGGAGGGGGGAGAGGGGGTGACTGGGAAAGGAGTGGGTGGGTGATTCTGTTTCTGAGAACTGGGGGAGACACTTTTGAGTTGACTGAAAAGCAGATTCGGTTCCAAGAACTGGGAGAGACGTTAGGAGTGAGGGAGGGGCCAGAGGTGGCAGGGGAGTGGGTCGGCTGGGGTTTTGGTCTCTGAGAGCCATCAGCACTTTCTTGCAGACAAGTGAGGGCTGTTGGCGCAATCAGTCACCAGCAGCCATTTGTTCCAGTCACTGGGGTTTGTACTTGAAAGCTCATGTGCCTGGCTTGTCAACTTGGCTTTCGTTTGTGCTGATGCTGCTCGTCTTGCTTGTATGCCTATGCGTTGGTGTGTGCGCGTGCGTTGGAGTGCTGGGGTGTGTATATGTGTGTGTGTAGGGGGGGGTGTGGGTGTATGTGTGTGTGTGGGGGGGGTGTGGGTGTGTGTGCGTGCATGTGTGCGCGTGCACGTGTGCCCGTGTGTGTGTGTATGCATGTTCCCGCAGGTGTTTGGCCGTGCTGTAGTCTGCCGCGACCTCTCAGTAGCAGCGGACGTGGCCCGCTCCGGGAGCTTTGACTGTATCACACTGGAAGGTGACGTCTCAGATTCCCATTTCTGGAAGATGCTCATGCGCAGCAAGGGTCATAGGAGACCCCCCGCCCGCAAATGGGGGGCACTACAGTTGCCAACCGTGCTTCCTTCTTCTTGCTCTGTGCTCGCTGCTTCTTCTCCTTCTGCAGAATGCTGCAGACCGCTGGTCTTACTGTACCGCCTCGTGTGTTGCATAATGGTCCTGCGTAACCCCTGATATCGTCACCCTCACCCCGCACAGGATGGCAGGTTGAGTGTGAGGGAGCCATGACCGGGGGAGGTTACCCACATCTCTTTGGCCCTCTCGCTCTGGTTTACCTCAACCCCACAACTCTTGCTCTCGCTCTTTCACCTCAACCCCGCGCCTCGCACTCTCACACCGCAGGGTCGCAGGTGGAGCGCAAGGTCGCCAAACCGGGGGGCCACTATGACCCGTGTCTCATCGGCTATCAGCCCTCTCATTCCGCTCTACCCAGCCCCCCCAACTCTCACTCTCTCACACCGCAGGGTCGCAAGTGGAGCGCAAGGGCGCCATGACCGGGGGCCACTACGACCCGCGGCGGTCGCGGCTGCGGCTGATGCAGACAGTGAGGGAGAGCAACCGGCGGGTGGGGGAGCTGCAGCAGGAGCTGCGGCAAGTCAAGGCGGCCATGCAGGATATCCTTCCAATGGCATTCTGTGCCCACCCGGCTTCTTCCCTCCTGGAATTTGCCTGCCCCCACCCAACTTCTGCCCCTATGTCTCGTCCTTCTGATGCTCGTTCCCTCTGCTTGTCTCGGTTTTACACTCCTGGCGCCTCCTGCCTTGCTTTTGCTGTTCTTGCTGGTTGATGGTTGGCTCGTTTTGTTGTTGTTCTTGCTTCTGCGTCCGGATCCAAGGATTCCTTGACCTGCAGGACCTCCTACTCTGCCCCACCTTCCCTTCCCTTCTCTCTTTCGCGCTCTTTCTCTTCCTCGCACCTTCCCCCTCCCCCTCCCCACCTATGCTCCCCATCCCCCACTCCTCCTACCCCCGTCCCTCTCTCCCCTCCCCCTTTCCCATCTCTCCATCTCCACCGCGCCCTCCTCTTAAACCCTCCTTGAACCCGTCCAAAATCCTTCTGATCTCCACAAGCGGACCAAGCTGTGGCAGTGGCGCTGGGGGACCTAGAGCGCCTGGAGGCGAAGCAGAGGCACCTGGCGTCGCTGCTGGAGCAGACGCGCGCCGACATGCGTGCTCTCAAGGGGCAGATCTCCGCCAACCAGGCCGCCTGTGAGCAGAAGGTGGGTGTGGAGGGGGAGCACGGCTGGGTTTGGTGCGGTGCTGTACAGTTCTAGGGCGGTGTTAGAGCAGCATGGCACATGCTGGAGGAAAGAAACACTCGATCCCATGCTCTGCACCCTCTCCCTCCCCCACATTCAACACCACACCACCACACCATGACTCCACACCACCGCCACCACTGACCCCACAGGAGGAGGCGGTGGGCAAGGTGAGGGCGAGTCTGGAGGAGCAGCAGGCAGCGGTGGAGGCGAAGCGGGGCGAGATAGGCACAGCGCTCGTTGCAGGGCTGAGCGCGGGCGAGCAGGCGGAGGTGGAGGCCCTGGTTCCGGAGATAGACAGCCTCAAGCAGCAGCTGCTGGTGTGCAAGCGCACCCGCATGGAGGTGAGGGGCGGGTGGGAGGGGGGAAGGGTTTGGAGTTTAGGGTTTAAAGTTCTTAGGATCAGGGGTTGTGCAGGGATGAGGGATGGGAGGGGGTGAGGTGCAGGTGATTTGGGGAGTGGAGAAAGGTGGGGGGTTCTTGTAGGGGTGGTTGAGAGGCGCTGATTCAGCAACCAGGGGGCTGAGTGCTGGCGAGCAGGCGGAGGTGGAGGTTCTGGTGCCGGATATAGACAGCCTCAAGCAGCAGCTGCTGGCGTGCAAGCGCACCCGCATGGAGGTGAGGGGGGAGGTGGAGCAGGGTTTGGGGGTTTGGGTCTCAGGGGGGAGGTTGAACGGGGTTTGGAAAGTACCTCCTCACTGTCCTCGTAGCTTGTCCATCAATCCCCTCCTTTTGACTCGCAGGTGGAGAGCCGCATGAGCCAGCTGGAGTCAGTTCTCACCGAGAACCTGCTAAAGCGGCAGGATGAGGTGCAGGCGGAGGTGGACGTGGTCGTTTGCCCACACATCCATACATTCCGCCTCCCAATTCGCAGGTGGAGAGCCGCATGAGCCAGCTGGAGACGGTGCTGACTGAGAACCTGCTGAGGCGGCAGGACGAGGTGCAGGCGGAGGTGGACGTGGTGCACGTGGCGTCCCGGAGGAGCGAGCTGGAGGGGCGGCGGGCGGAGGCGGCTGCTGCGGACGCGGCCCTGCAGGACCTGGTGCAGGAGCACAAGCGTGAGTGCTGCTGCTGGTGGTGCTGTTGGCCTTGTTCAGCTTTGCTGGCTTTACCGTTTGATGGGTCTTTGAAACTGTTCTAGCTGTGCTTTGTGGTAGTAACACAGAGCGCCCCCCCCTGGAGGACCTGGTGCAGGAGCACAAGCACAAGCGTGAGTGTTGCTGTTGCTGACAGGTGCTGAAGCGCGCTGATTTGATGGGGCTTTCAAGCCTGAAAGCCGCCTCTGCAGAATTGCGCTGCTGCTAGTGCGTGGTGCAGGAGCACAAGCGTGATCCTTTGGGCCGACTCAAAAGCCAGCAAGGGAAGATTCACATACATGCACATTAAGGGATGGTTTGACACTTTGGTGTCTCTTGCTTGCGCCCCACACCTAACTCCCTCTCTTTGTGTCTGACTTTGTTTTCGCATTTTTCTTGCTACACCTCTTCCCCTGTACCTCTTCCCCTGTACCTCTTCCCCTGTACCTCTTCCCCCGTGCCTCTTCCCCTGTACCTCTCCCCCGTGCCTCTTCCCCTGTACCTCTTCCCCCGTGCCTCTTCACCCGTGCCTCTTCACCCGTGCCTCTTCTCCCGTGCCTCTTCTCCCGTGCCTCTTCACCCTTGCCTCTTCCCCCGTGCCTCTTCCCCCGGGCCTCTTCCCCCTCGCCTCTTCCCCTGTTCCTCTTCACACGTGCCTCTCCGCATTCTGGTGTGGTGCTGACGCCAGGTGTTGCCAGTCGCATGGAGCAGCTGATGAAGGAGATCAGGGAGCTCAAGGCCAACAAGGACAAGCTCAAGGTGCGAGCAGGGCTGGGGTATGGCAGCGCTAGGGGGTATGATGCTCTGCGCCCCTCTCTATCCTGCTGCTGCCGCTGCTGCACCACGTGTTGGTGTTGCCAGCCGCATGAAGGAGATCAGGGAGCTCAACAAGGACAAGCTACAGGTGCGAGGGGGGGTTGGGGTGTGGCCGCGCTAGGGGGTATGGTGCTCTGCGCCCCTCTCTGCCCTGGTGCTGCTGCTGCTGCTGCGGCTGCACCACGTGTTGGTGCAGGACGAGGGCAAGGCGCTGGAGCAGCTGCTGAACCAACGCAGCGTGTGGCAGCACAGGAGGGACGACGCGAGCAAGGCTCAACACCACCTCACACAAGACGAACTCACCAGTGCTTCCCCCCTCTCTGTTGCTCATGTCTCCTCCCCTTCCCCCAACCCCCGTTCCTTGTTCTTCCCCCCCCCACCTTCCCGCCACCCATCCCCCCTTCCTCCCCTCACCCCCCTATCCCCCCATTCCTCCACGATCTCTCCTGGCCCCCTGTTTTCTGCGCCCAGCAACAAGAGGAGGAGTGGGAGCGGGTGGTGCAGGACGAGGGCAAGGCTTTGGAGCAGCTGCTGAACCAACGCAGCGTGTGGCAGCACAGGAGGGACGACGCCAGCAAGAAGATCCGCGACCTCGGGTCGCTGCCTGCTGACGCCTTTGACAAGTGAGCTAATGGTTTCAAGTGCTTGCGTGCCCTCAAGTTGGCGCCCTGGTGACGCCTCGTTGCCTTCACTGGGCATGCCTGCTTTCTTTGACTGGTTATGTTTCTTGTCACTCTTCCCCCCCCCCCCCTGCCCCCCCCTCCCCGCAGTCCCCCTTGCCTCCCCTTCCCCCCCCTTCCCCCCCACCCCCCCCCTTCCCTCGGCCCCCTCTGGCTTCCCCCACATCGTATTTCCTCTTTTAACTGGCAGGTAACAGAAGCAGAGTGCACGCGAGCTGCACTGGCTGCGGCACCATGCAGTGCTGGTCTAAACCCCTGCACTCTCGCACTCAACCCCTATCCTTTCCTCTCTGCCCCCACTCCTCCCCCCCCCCCGTGGCCTCTCTTCAACACCTCTCCCACTTGGCAGCTACCAGAAGCAGAGCGCGCGAGCTGCCCCTGCTGCTGCACCATGCAGTCTGGGTCGAAACCCCCCGCGCTCTCACACTCATCCTTTCTTCCCATGCCCCCCCCCCTTGTACCCCTGGCAGGTACCAGAAGATTTTGTAGGCGCCTCAAAAATTGTCTCACCCTTTCTTCCCACCCTCCTCCCTCTGTACCCGTGGCAGATACCAGAAGCAGAGTGCGCGCGAGCTGCACCGGCTGCTGCACCGGTGCAACGAGGAGGTGCAGGGCTTTGGGCACGTGAACCGCAAGGCACTGGACCAATACGTCAACTTCACGGAGCAGCGCGAGGAGATGCAGCGAAGACAGCTGGAGCTCGATAGGAGCGACGAGGTGAGAAGGGGAGGTGGAAATGGGAGGGAGGAAGGGGGGTTCGTGTGAGGGGGAGGGGTGAAGAGTGTGGGGGATAGGTGTTTGGGTTTGGGGGGAATGGGTTTAGTGGTGCAGGTTGTAGACTGAGTGCGGGCCTTGAGGGGATGACGGGGCTTTGGGCTTTGGGCACGTGAACCGCAAGGCGCTGGACCAGTATGTCAACTTCACGGAGCAGTGCGACGAGATGCAGTGGCGCCAGCTGGAGCTCGACAGGAGCGATGAGGTGAGAGGGGGAGGTGGAAATGTTCCGGAAACTTGAGGGAGGAAGGGGAGAGTTTTTTTTCTGAGGGTCGGTCTGAGAGGGCGGGGGGGGTAAGGATTGAGGGCAGGGTGAGGAGGAGAAGAGGTTGGGGGAAAAGGGTTAGTGTTGCAGGTTGTAGGCTGAGTGTGGGGCTTGAGGGGACAACGGGGGTTTGGGCTTTGGGCTCGTGAACCGCAATGCACTGGACCCCCCGCTCCCTCCCCTACCTCCTGCCTCTTCTTGTCTCATCTCCCCCCTGAGCCGAAGATCAAGGAGCTGATAGGGGTGTTGGACCAGCGAAACTCTTCCCCTCACCCACCCCACCCCTCCCATCCCTCCTGCACTCACTTTCCGATTTCCCGACCGCCCCGAGCAGAAGATCAAGGAGCTGATAGGGGTGTTGGACCAGCGCAAGGACGAGGCCCTGGAGCGCACGTTCAAGCAGGTGGCGCGCAACTTCCGAGAGACCTTCGCACAGCTGGTGCCCAGCGGGCACGGGTCGCTGGTGATGGTGCGCAAGCGCAAGGAGGACGAGGCGGTGGAGGATGATGATGAGGACGAGGACGGGGGCAACAAGGACGGTGACGCGGACAGCCGCTTGGATAAATATGCTGGCGTTCGTGTGAAGGTGTGTAAACCCCCCCTTCCCCCCCTCCCCCCTCCTCCACCTCCCCTCCCCTCCTCCCCTTCCGTCCCCCTTTTTTTTTGGGCTTTAGAGCGATCCTGGATGGAAGGTCCTGTGGCCAACGTCACACTGGTTCGGAACTTCCGAGAGACCTTTGTGCAGCTGGTGCGGAGCGGGCGGGCATGGGTCGCTTTGGTGATGGTGATGGTGATGGTGATGGTGCGCAAGCGCAACGAGGACGACCTAGATTTCCTCTCTCCTAGGGTATTCTGGTTAGAAACGAACTGTAACCTTCCTCCCTGTCAACCCTGCGCAGGTGTCGTTCACAGGGCAGGGCGGAGAGGTGCAGATGATGCGGCAGCTCGCGAACCCATTTCACTGCGTTTCCTTTCTCCCTCCTCCTTCCTCCCTCCTGTTGTCTCTCTCCAGGTGTCGTTCACAGGGCAGGGAGAGACACAGGCCATGTGGCAGCGGTGCAACTCAGTCCGCTTCCTTTCTTTTCGCTTCCTCCATTTCTCCTCCCTCTCCAGGTGTCGTTCACAGGGCAGGGAGAGACGCAGGCCATGCGGCAGCTGTCTGGAGGGCAGAAGACGGTGGTGGCCCTCGCACTCATATTCGCCATCCAGCAGTGCGACCCCGCTCCATTCTGTGAGTGCCTCTTCCGGTCCTGTAATGAATACTGCTAGACCGTATAGGTGCACGTGTGTGTAGAAGACAGTCGTGGCCCTCGCACTCATATTCGCCATCCAGCAGTGCGACCCTGCTCCATTCTGTAAGTTGCTCTTTCTCTCCTGTAAGGAATGCCACTAGACCTTGGCATGCACCAGGAGAGCAGGCAATAGTCGTGGCCCACGCACTTAATCTTTGCGATCCAGCGGTGCGACTGTGCGCCGTTCTGTACGCACCTCTCCCTCTTGTCGATTCAACCACTGCCAGGGCCCCTACTGATGCATGTGTAGGAGCCTACCCTCCCGCTTCCAAATCATTGCAGGTCGTGATTTTCATGATCAGCTGTGCCTTTTCTTTTGCTTTGTCTCGTCCTTACAGCCGCCTTCCATTCCGTTCTCGTGCTTCTTCGACTCTGCTCGTTCGCCTGCGTTTGAGTCGACTCAAAAGCCGCTCGTACGCCTGCCTCGTCTTACTCCTCTCTTCCAATCCCCCCCCCCTGTGCTTTCCGTCTCCCCAACCCCCACCTCTAACCACTCGGTGTACAGACCTCTTCGATGAGATCGACGCAGCTCTGGACCCTCAATACCGGGCGGCAGTGGGAAGTGAGTGCCACCCTCCGACCTACTTGCTGCCCTGCTGTTAGAATGCAATTCTGAGTATCAGGTTATCACCTTTTGAGTCGACTCAAAAGCGGTTATCAGTCACTTGAGGTAGACCGCACCTCTGGTCTGGACCCTCAATACCGGGCGGCAGTGGGAAGTGAGTGCCACCCTCCTACTTCTAGCAAGGCATAACTCTCAAGCAGGCTGACGAGTCGGGCACGCAGTTTGTGATCACGGCGTTCCAAAACGCATTTGCTTGCGCCCCCTTCTCCCCCGTCCCATCTTTTTCTCTTCCCCACCCCCGCACCCCACCTCCCCCCCCTCCCCCCCCCGGCCTCCCACCCGGCGCCCCCAGGCATGATCCGCAAGCAAGCGGACGAGGCGAACACGCAGTTTGTGATCACGACGTTCCGGCCCGAGCTGGTGAAGGTGGCGGACCGCGTGTACGGGGTGTTCCACAAAAACAGGGTGAGCACCGTGAAGGTCATCGACCAGCACGCCGCACTCGCCTTCATCGAGCACGACCAGGGCGGACCCACCGAGTGAAGGGGGGGGGGGGGGGGGGGGAGGGGATGAAGGGAAAGGGGGAGTGGTGGGGGGCGAGGAGAGTGGTGGAGGAAGGGGATGGAGAGAAAATGGTGCAGGCAGCAGTGTGACTACTACACGTCTGTTAGGCTAACACTGACACTGACAGTTGCGGCTGTGGATGGAGGACCAAGATTCTCGAGTATATCTCCTACCACTAATCTCACACAAGATTTGATTTTGTGAACCGGGAGAATACCGTATGCCATTGGTTGGAGAAGTTTCATCTGCCTGTATAGCTCACAGATCTTTCTTTGTTTCCATTTTAGATTCTTTCACCTTAATCGTATTTTGTTGATACTGTGCTCAAATTGTTGTTAAAGGTCCGTGCTATTTTCCCATTTCCATAGATAATGCCGTGATATTGCTGTCGTCAGGAGTCTTTGCGAGGTCAGCTTTAACGGTGTTACACGCTTTTTGTCGAGCAAAAGCTCCACACAACACAGCAAGTGTACAGTACTGCCGCCCCAGAAAGCCACTTTCCCCAGCGACTTTCGCTTGCTGACGTGTCACCACATGCAAGCTCCTGACATGGCGGCGTACCCTCTGACTGAGCGGGCTTGAGCAGAAACACACGTGGCACAGGCATTGGGAATCTCTTAGCTTGCTGCGTCAGAAGCTGATGTCCTTCGTCGGTCTTGTGAAGTCGAAGCTGACACGAAGTGGCAGGCAGAGTAGAGGTCCCCAGGCACCCTGCGTTGAGTCAACAAGCTTGATCTTCAACTGGGGGAACCCGACCCGCCTAGGCAGGCAGGCAGGCAGGCAGGCAGCCTTTCGGAGACTCACTTGCGCCGCTCCCTCAGTCGTCAGAACCCGACTTTCGGCCCAGCTGGCCGCTCAGCAATTCGCTCCGCAATTCGCGCCGTGATGGACGCTGTGGTGTGCCGGCGCGTGGGGTCTCTCAAGCCGTCCGCCCCGCCCTCGGAGAAGGTGATTTCGGGGGGAAAGGGGGAGGGGAGGAGATCACCACCTGGGTACTACGAATTCACGTGTGGGTTCTTTTACCTCAAAACAACGTGTTTTGGGAAGTGGTAGCGAGGTTTCGAGGTTCTGAATGGGAGGGACTGGCGAGCGAGCGAGCGAGCGAGCGTGTGTTGTTGTGGCTTGGCGAGCAGCGCAACGGTGTTTCTGGCTTGATGAATTTGCTCGCTCTCTGCTGCGTCACTGCTGTGCTTTGCATGGGATTCTCTTTCAGGACGCCGTACTCGCTTTCGAGGGCAACTTTCCTGTCCCTCCCCCTCTCCCCCTCTCCCCCTCTCCGCCTCTCCCCCTCTCCCCCTCTCCCTCTCTCCCCTCTCCCCCTCTCCCCCTCTCCCCCCTCTCCCCCTCTCCGCCTCTCCCCCTCTCCCCCTCTCCCCCTCTCCCCCTCTCCCCCTCTCCCCCGTCTCCCCCTCTCCCCCTCTCCCCCTCTCCCCCTCTCCCCCGTCTCCCCCTCTCCCCCTCTCCCCCTCTCCCCTCTCCCCCTCTCCCCCGTCTCCGCCTCTCCACCTCCTCCAAGCGTTCCTCCTCACTCCTTCCCCCGGATGCATCCCTTCCCCCTGCCATCCAGAACGCCTTACACTCGCATTCCCCCACCCCCGCGCTACCATCTCCCCTTTACATTCCCCCCTTCCCCCTCCCCCCTCACCCACCCCTTCCCCTCTCCCCTCCAGGACGCCTTACTCGCATTTGAGCGCAACTTCGTGGTCCCTTCCCTCCCCCGCGCCCCCTCCTCCAAACGCGCCTCTTCCCTCCTCATCCGCGTGGCAGCAGCCAGTCTAAACTTCGCCGACGCCCTGCAAATAATGGGGCAGTACCAGGAACGCCCCCCGGTGCCGTTTGTCCCGGGGGCGGAGGTGGCGGGGGTGGTGGAGGAAGTGGGGGAGGGCGAGGGGTTTAAGAGAGGGGATAGGGTTTGTGCCGTGGTGGGAGGAGGAGGGTTTGCAGATCTCGTGGTAACGAATGAAGGCTCTTGGTGAGTGGTCAAGGAAGGAGGGAAGGAGGAAAGGGGGAAAGGGGGAAAGGGGGAAAGGGGGAAAGGGGGAAAGGGGGAAAGGGGGAGGGTGGACGGGGGAGGGGGGAGAGAGAGAAGGGGGTAAACGGGGGTCCATTGAGGGTGGGGGGAGATGTGCGGAATGTGAGAGACAAGGGGAGGAGAGAAGAATTGGTGGTTCGGGAGGTTGGGGGGGTGTGGGTGTGGGTGGAGGTGGGGGTGGGGGTGGGTTTGGGTGTGGGTGGGGGTGAGTGTGGGTGTGGGTGTGGTTGTGGTGTGGGTATGGTGTGGGTACGGTGTGGGATTGGGTGGAAGACGGTTTGAGAGGTTGATAGCACCTCAGGGTCTATACCCGGTTGAGAATACGTTGTTTCCCTGGATATTTCTCTGGGAGGTAAGCGGGATCTAGCCCTGTGTTGTTGCGCGCCCACCCCACCTTTTGTGTGTGACAGTGTCCTCTCCACCCCGCCCCGCCCTGCCCCCCTTCCCCACCTTTGTGCATGTCTCTCCCTCCCTCATCAGTTTCAAGCTACCCCCATCAGTGCCCTTCCCTGCAGCAGCGGCGCTGCCAGTGGCGTTTGGCACGGCGCACGTGGCTCTGGCGCACAGAGCGTGCGTGGGGAGGGGGCACGTGGTGCTGGTGCTGGGGGCGGGAGGCGGCGTGGGAGTAGCAGCCGTGCAGATCTGCAAGCTGCTGGGAGCCACGGTCATTGCTGTCGCCAGGTGAGGCGAGTTATGTATTTCTTGAGGTGCGGTGGAGTGTGGGAGTTTGCTTTCAAGTCCACACAGAAGCAAACAGAGGGTGGGGGGGGGAGGGGGGCGTGGCAGCCATGCAGGTATGCAAGCTGCTGGGGGTCACTGTCATTGCTGTCGCCAGCTGAGAAGTCGACTTGTGTGTGTGGGCTTGACACTAACAAGCTTGAAGTCGACTCAGAAGCAGGAGGGGGGCAACGGGCATGGCCGCAGTGCAGATCTGCAAGCTGCTGGCTGGGAGCAACAACGGTCAATGCTGTCGCCAGGTGGGGTGGATCCTGTTCTTTGGACATAGTTCCAGTGAGCGCAGTTACGAAGACAAAACGGCGCTCACTGGAACTACTGTATGTCCGAAGGCCAGGTGGGGTTGATCCTGTTTTACCGCACGCTGCCCCTGGGTGGGGGCCACAGTCATTGCTGTCGCCAGGTGAGTGAGATGTGGCCCCAGTGATTCTCGACTCATTGCCGTTGCTCCGCAATGCGGGTTTAGTTCTTTACTTGTTGAGGCGCAGTTACATGTTCTTTCTTTTGTGCCTTATGGTTCCTTTTCCTTCCCTGCTCCTTCCCTGCTCCTTCCCTGCTCCTTCCCTGCTCCTTCCCTGCTCCTTCCCTGCTTCTTCCCTGCTCCTTCCCTGCTCCTTCGCTGCTCCTTCCCTGCTCTTTTCCCCCTTCCCCCAGAGGCGCTGAGAAAGCCCGCCTCCTCTCCTCGCTCGGTGCGGACCTGATAATCGACACGGCGCAGCACACCCAGAAAGACGCCATCCGCGAGCAGACCAGGCAGTTTCTGAAGGACCGAGGGCTCCCAGGGGGGGTGGATGTGCTGTTTGATGCGGTGGGCGGGGAGCAGTTCAAGCAGGGCCTGCGGGTCATGCGGTGGGGCGGCCATGTGCTCATTATCGGGTTTGCCAGCGGTGCCATTCCCAGTATTCCGGCTAACATCGCCCTCGTCAAGGTAGGGTGGCTGTCGGTCTGTGTGTGCCTGAAACCTAAGCCCTTGTCTCGAGTGCCCATGTGATGGTTACACGCGGTGGGGCGGCCACTTGCTGATTATCGGGTTCGCCAGCGGTGCTATTCCCATTATTCCCGCTAACAAGGTGACTTTTGAGTCGACTCAAAAGTCACTCAAAAGTCACTCAAAAGTCACTCAAAAGTCACCTCTTCCCAGTATCCTGGCTAACATCACCCTTGTCAAGGCACGGCGGCTGGCTGGCTGGCTGTCATCTGTGTGTGTGTAAATGGAAGTCCTTGTATCTATTGCCCGCATAATGGTGACATGTGGTGGGGCAGCCATGTGCTCATCATCGCCTGTGCTACTGGCACCATTCCCAATATCCCAGCTAACATCGCTCTGGTTAAGGTACGTGGTGGTGCTGAGGTGGGCCGCATGATCGCCTTGTGCTGTGGTGGGCCGCATGATCGCCATGTGCTGTGGAGCGGCGCCATTTCCAGTATCCCGGCGAACAGTGCTCTTGTTAAGGTCACCGGGCCGTCCGTGTGTGTGTGCGGGCTAACCATCCCACCGTCCAGTTAAGGTGAACCGGTTCTGGGTGTGGGTGCAGCATGGCGCCATCCCACGGTGGGATGGGATGGGATGGTTACCGTCTTGATGCTGGGTGGGTGCCATTCCCACCATCAGACGAATCACGATCACTGCTAATATTGCGCTTGTCTAGGTAACCTGACACCTGACTGACCTGCTGCTGAAACCTGATGCCAGACGCTTGTTTGGAATTGTTTGGATGCGATGGATCAGGTTTCCGCTTGTGCTCCACAGTCAACGCATCACTGCTCTCTCACATTCTGCTCTTCCCCCTTCCTCCTGCTCATCTTCTTTCTCTCCCTCCCCCCTCCTCTTCTATCCCTCCCTTCTCTCTTCCCCCTCCCCCCCCCTCTTAAAATCTCACCACCATTCATGGCATCTACTGCAGCAGCGGCATCTAGCACAGCCATCTCATTGAGACCCCTCTTTTTCCCTTCCCAAACTCCTCCTTCCTTCATTCTCCCCCGCTCTCAGAACCTCACCATTCATGGCACCTACTGGGGCAGCTACATGCAGCACGACCTTCTCAATGAGACCCCTCTTTCTCCCTTCCCTCTCTTCTCCTTTCTTCCTCTCTCCCCCTCCCCCCTCTCTCCCCCCTCCCTCCCTCCTCCCTTCCAGAACCTCACCATTCACGGCATCTACTGGGGCAGCTACATGCAGCATGACCCCTCCGTCCTGCGTTCTTCCATGCGCCAGCTGCTCTCGTGGCTGGCTGAGGGCGCTATCTCCGTGCACGTCTCGCACACCTTTGGCTTTGACCAGGTAGGTAGGGGGTGGTGGCGTGATGGTAGGTGTGACCTGAAGCTAAGTGCTGCGCTCCTCCATTCGCCAGCTGCTCGTATGGCTCGCCGAGGGCACCATAGCTCTGCACGTCTGGCACACCTTTGGCTTTGATAAGGTAGTCATGCCTTGTTAATGGGTGGCATGCAGCACGACCCATCGTTGCTGCGCTCCTCCGTGCACCAGCTGCTCTCGTGGCTCGCCGAGGGCGCCATCTCCGTGCATGCCTTTTGCTTTGATAAGGTAGTCATGCCTTTTGAGAGGGTAGCATGCAGCACACGACCCCTTGGTGCTGCGATCCTCATGGTGCTCCTCATGCTGTCCGCTCCTCCTCCCCACCCCCCAAATCCCTTCACCCTAATCGTCCTTTTCTCCCACCCCCCCCTTCCTCTGCCCCCTTCCCCTAACCCCCTTCCTCCCACCCCCTTCCCCTGCCCCCATGTCACTGTGCCCTGCCCCGGTGTTGCTGTGCCCTGCCCCCGGTTCCCTGTGCTGCCCTGTCCACCCGTCAAGGTGCACCAAGCAATCTTAACTCTCCTGAAACGCAAGGCAGTTGGCAAGGTGGTGCTGCTGCCTCCCTCTACTGCTGGTGGTGCTGGTGGTGGTGCCATCACTGGTAGCACGGGTCACAAAAGCCGATTGTGAGCCTCACTGGCTGTACCTTACTGAATGTTCGGCAGATGAACAAAGCCGCGTGCATAGGGGTCTTGTTGCTGCTGCTGGTGATGCCATCACTGGTAGCACAGGTCACACCAGCCGACTGTGAGCCTCATTGGCTATACCTCACTGGCTATAGCTCTTCACTGAATGTTCGGCAGATGGTCGAGGCCGCATACGTAGGGGCCTTGCTGTGGGGGTATTGCCGCTGTTGCCCTTCCATTTGTGCCGGTTGCTTGGGTGGTTGGTGAGCAGTGGAGGGAGACTCTGCCTATAACTCTGTGATTTAGGCAAATCTGCCCCTGTATGCTGTACAGTGCTTTAATGCAGACTCTAGTTACTGGGGCATGGTGACGACCGGGCTCTGGATGTCTAGGCGGTTAAGTGATGTGCAATTGGAGCTTGCACAAATCTTGCATTGTACACACAGCCCATTTGAATGGCCTTTCTTGTGTAAAATCCTCTTTATGCACCCATCCAGTCTTGGAGTGCCTCGTTAAAAGACACCCCGCCAATCATCCCTTTATTCCAGTTCGACGCCCCGAAGATCGCGCAGTGAACCAGCGAAGCGGGCAGAAACACTCTCGCGGATCTCTTTGTGTCAGCAAACGCGATCGCCTCTTTATAAACTGCCGACGCGCTTTCGAAAACCGCCTCCCTCTCCGCGCGTGTACAGTAATCCGTGCTCCACTGTAGACTTCCCCATGATCTGGTGCGTACTATATTGGTAATATTTCCTGATCTGTTTAGAATTTCCCCCAAGCACTGCCTCACGTATGCTGTATCGCTTGGAAGCTGCTTTCCAATGGTGGTGGCAATGTTGTCGAAGAGCGTGTTGAAAATGAAGAGAGGAGTGGAGACCGTGCGCGAGACAGTGTACTGGGGAAAGAAGCACCGCCACCGGTACGTGGAGGAATAGGCTGGTGGGGAGAGGGAAAGGGCGACGGGGAGAGGGGTTGTGGGGGGTGGGAGAGGGGGGAGGGGGGAGGGAGAGAACGATTGTGAGAGAAGAGTAGCTGGTACAAGTGAAAAAGGCTGTGTGGCGACCGTATAAACGAATCCACTATTAGGATTGTGCACTGTGGAGTGTGTGTGTGTGTGTGTGTGAGAGAGAGAGAGTGCATCATGGTGTTTACAGGTGAAGATCTGCCACTGTCATTGTCACTGTTGGAGGCCCCACTCCCCATAGTTGGTCTGGTGTAGCGCAGCCAGTTTCTCTGCAAGCGAGACTCTTCGAACTCACCTCTTTTGAATCGGCGCAAAAGGAAGGTACAGCTACCATTGGCGCACCTTGAGCACACTCGGCATAGTTGGGCTGGTGTAGCGCCACCAGTTTCTGTGCAAGCGAGCGGAAGTAGAAGCTGCCACTGCGGTCCTCTGCGTCTGAGCGAGGGAAAAAAGGGGGGGGAGGGGGAGGGGAGAATGTGAGGGATGGAAAGGAGAGGGTAGGAGGAGAGGGGAGAGAGCGAGAGTGGGGTACGGGAGAGGGAGGTGCCGTGTTGGGGAGGTAAAGGGGGGGAGGGGAACCAGAGGCAAGGCATGGTGTGACCAAGAACCTATCGCTCATTAGCGAGAGAGAGAGAGCGAGAGAGAGAGAGCGAGAGAGAGAGAGAGAGAGAGATCATAACATGGTAACGAAGAAGAATCCACTCTACAACAGAGATCTTAACATGGTAACGAAGAAGAATCCACTCTACAACAGAGATCTTAACATGGTAACGAAGAAGAATCCACTCTACAACAGAGATCTTAACATGGTAACGAAGAAGAATCCACTCTACAACAGAGATCTTAACATGGTGTCCAGCCCAACAAGAATCCACTGTCCACGGTGCCCATAAGAGACTGTGTCTCTTACCAACAAAGAACCCCGAGTCAACAACGCAGCGAGCATTGGCAGAGGGCACGGCAGTAGCGATGGTGTCGCACAGATGAATTTGAGTGGTGGTGTCCCGTAACCTCTTCTTCACTCAGCACCTCTCCTCTGTGATGCCTAAACTGGTTCCTTCGTGGCTTTGCCCATCCTGCACTTGTACGTGATGAGACCCAACTTCCCTGACTCACGCCACGAGAATGCCCGAGACTAAATCTCGCACCCTGATTCTCTCAACTGCACCTCTGTCCGGCCTCCCTACATGGATCTAGCGATGCTCAAGAGTAATTCCACTAGTAAGAGAGCATACAGGCTTTCCCATGGTAACGAGAGAACAAACAGAGTAGCAACAACCACCCTCTCCTAGCAGTCCCACTCCTGAGCCAAACCCAACCCTCCCAGTTGCTTCCGCCGCGCACCTTTTCAGGATTTTCTTCTCCAATGATGGCCCCGTAACTCCTGCCATCGACTCACCTCCCTCCTTCGCTGCATGTCACAACCTGCATGTCACTGTCCGAACCGCTCCACCAGCTCGCTTACGTGTCATGTCCCAACCTGCTGCCCTCCCAGCTGGCCAACTGCTCCCTCCTCCCAACTCGCCCATCACTGTACCTTTATCAAAAAGGTGTTGTCGGCTATGTACACTATATACACTTGCTTACACCCTTCTTTGCTCCTTAACATTCTTCACCCGCCCCTCCCACGCTGTCCCATGAAACTCAGTAACGGGTACAACGAGATTCATGCGACAGTGGACCTGGAATTCACCGTCAAAGAACCCCGAGTCGACAACACAGTGAGCATCGACAGAGGGCCCGGCAGCAGCGATGGTGTCACACAGATGACTTTGAGTGGTGGACCCGGAACTCACCGACAAAGAACCCCGAGTCGCTGACGCATCGGGCATCCGCAGAGGGCACTGCAGCAGCTATGGTGTCGCACAGATGCACCACGGCCTGCCCGCCCGCTGAGCTGCCCGAGATGAGCAGACGAGACGCGGACCGAATGCCCCGGTTGGCTTGGAGGTCTGAGGGTATGCGGGGGGAAAGGGAGAGGGGTAGGGGGGCGGTAGGGGGGCGAGTTGAGCAGCAGATCATCACAGCCTGACTCCCCCCCAGCTGCCGGAGACGAGCAGGCAGGACCCGGACCAGATGCCCCTGTTGGCCTGGAGGGCTGAGGCGGAGAGGGCGGGAGGGTGGGAGGGGGGGGAGAGGGGCCCGGAGGGGGAGGGGGGGGGAAGGGAATGGCGTGGGGACGGAAACGAGACGAGTTGAGGAGCAGAGTGTGTTTTAGAATGGTCAAGAGCACCAGCGCCTGGCGGCCTGCTGAGCTGCCTGAGATGAGCAGATGAGAGGCCGAGCGACTGCCCCCATTGACCTGCAGGACTGGGGAGAGAGGGGGGGTGTGGGGGGGTAGGGGGGTTGGGGGGGGAGAAAGGGGGGGAGGGGAAGACTGCATGGGGGACGAGCAGAGCACCACAGCCTGGCCGCTTGCGGAGCTGGTGGAGATGACTAGGCGAGATGCAGACCGCACGCCCAAGGGATGGGCGGAAGGGGGGGGGAAGGGGGGGAAGGGGTGCAAGAGTAGCTTCTATTCTGGGAGATCAGCACAGGAACGAAGGATGTCAGTAAAGCGACAATGCATTTTCCCCACCTTTGAGAATCGCCTGAATGATGTTCCACCCGTCCATGTACACCACATCCCCGTTAGAAGCCACCCGCCCCCTGGTGCCCAGGAACCCCCCTCCGTCACAGTAGATGACTCTAACGAGGTTCCAGTTGTAAAAGGCTGGATTGGCAGAGTCGTCGCCGCTTAGTATGCCGCCAAAGGGCGGGCTGATAGCCTTGCTCTGAGAGGAGATGGAGGGGTGGGATGGGAAATGCAAGGAGAGGAGAAGCTCTTAAAGCCAGGGTCAACAGAATTGTCGTTGCTTAATGTGCTGGAGAAAGAGGGGTAGGCGGGGAGGGGGCTGGAGGGTTGGGGGGGGGAGGGGAGAAGGAGGAATTGGGGAGGGGGGTTGGGTGGAGATGAGGGAAAGGGGGTGGGGGGAAGAAGTGCGGAGGAAGAAGCTGGTCGAAAAACCATGGACTGGGGAGTTGGGCGAGGGACACGGGGTTGAGACGAGGGGCGGCAATAGCGCGGACCTTAGTGGTGCCGTCAGCGGGATACGCGCTAAAGCCCAGGTAGGTCCTCGTGCGCTCTTGTGTCGACTCAAGAGCCACCGCGAGGAGACGGTGGTTAGCGCGGAACTTAGTGGTGCCGTCAGCGTGGTCACTTCTGAGTAGACTCAAAAGTCACCTAGTCGACTCAAAAGTCACCTAGTCGACTCAAAAGTCCCCGCGCGCTCTTGAGTCGACTCAAGAGCCACCGTGAGGAGACAGTCGTTAGCACGGACCTTAGTGGTGCCGTCAGCGGGATACGCGCGAGTAGAGCCCAGGTAGGTCCCCGCGCGCTCCGCGCACTCCCCCGTGCTGAAGCACCACGCCCCCGGCGGCAGGAATATGTGCCAGTTCAGCCGCCCCGCGCCCCGCCCCGCGCGGAAGTAGTACCCGGGGGCACTGGCGGAGCAGGGGGGGGGGGGGAGAGGGGGAAGGGCAGGGGGGGGAGAGGGGAGGCGGGGGGAGGGGATGGGAGTCGACTTAAAAGGCGACAGCAATATATGCTAGTTCAGCCGCCCCGCGCCCCGCCCTGCGGGAAAATAGTAACCAGCGCATTGGCGGAACAGGCGCGGGAATGGGCGGGGGGACGGGGGGAAGGGAAAGAGGGCCGAGAGGAGGCGGAAATGTGAGGTGCATAAAATGTGAGGTGACTTACCACGATGTCTTCTTACACGTCTGACCCGATACTGCTCGTGCTCGTTACAAGGCTTTAGGGCATCAACCCATCAAGGCATCAACGCAATAAGCACGTACGTCCCTCACCTCCCATCGAGGCATTTCGCGCCGAGCGCATTATTCGGCAAAAGGATCAGATTTGTCCCCGACGGCGGCGGCGGCGTGTCCGGCGGCGGCGGCGACGGAGGCGGCGTGTCTTCAGGCGGCTTCCCCGAGAGCAGAGAAAGGATGAGCTGGAGTAGCAGCCATAGAGGCTTTCCGCTGCTTCCGCTTTTTCCGATGCTACCAGATGTTCTGCTGATGTTCAAACGGGCCATACTAAAGAATGTTCTTATATCCGTCTATAAGTAGAGCCTTTTCTTCGAGGTTAGTAGCTCGGAATTGTAGTGCACGGAGACTAGACTACGCTACGTAGTGCGTTGATCTATCGAGCACACGCGGTACAATCATCTCCGAGAAACTGTACGGCATCCACGGTCATCGGCGCTATTAGCGGCTGCGCCGCGGCGGCTGGAATGCGGAGCGACTCGCGAAGAGCAGACGCGTGACTCACGGCGACAGAAAAGGTAAAACGATGGCGCATAGAGGCGCGTGAAGCAAAGGGAAGGAAAGCGAGATGATACGGAAAGAGTGTTTTTCAGTCGACTCAAGAATGGTGCCGCACTACTAGTACTGCATCGAATGTATGTCGTGGTGAGGAGCGCGACGAAGGCAGTCAGGCTGCGTAGCGCCTAATCGACCGAAAGGGTGAGTTGATAGCTAGTATGTGATGCGGCGGCGAGTCAAAATGTAAAGACTGGACATTAATCACGGAACGGTCGTTTCCTTCTCCGACACGACCCTCCCCACACATCGCGGTTTCCAACTTTCACGGGCTGTAATCGTTTGTCGAATCGAAGGGAGTGTGGTGTGGTGGGGAGCGGAGTCAGACGCGGACGACCATCGGATTGGCTGGATGCCGGTCGATCGATGGTCCTCCCAGGGACGGTTAGGACTAGTGCGGGGCTACCTGACCGACCAGGGTGAGTTTTTTTTTTTTTTTTTTTTTTTTTTTTCTTTTTTCTTTTGGTGGCATGGCACCGTCGCAGCAAGCGCTGGGGCAAGAAGGGCGAGAGAGAGTGGAAAATTCGCCGCCCCTTGTCACCAGGGCTTATGCTAACAGGGTAAATGCCCGTTTTTGACTTATTTTCAAGGCAGATTGTGACTGAAACCTACAGCTCAAAGGGTCCGGTAAAACCCCCCGTAAAGTTCAGGTTTGTTTCGGGAGCCGCCCTTTCTGTACGAAGAGTTATCAGGGAAACCCGTTATTTTCTTAACACTACCCCCCTCCCCCACCCGCCACCGTCCCTGTCCCCCACCCCACCCCCTTCGGTTTGTCATTTCACACCCGTCATATTTCCCCAATCTGTGGCGATTTTGTTTCCTCCCTCTCACCCGCCCCTCTCTGCCTTGCCTCACCCGTAATATTCCAGCCTCGAATCTGTCTGAGAGGCAAAGTGTGTCTAAGTTTTCATGCCAACGCTAAGGCAGAATATCTCGCCTTGGGATTTTGTTGCGCGTGTGGTAAATGGAGCCTTACTTATCCCTAACGACTGCCTCAGTGGTCGTGCAATTTATGTATCCCAAGGTAGTCTTGTTCGAGTCCTACGAGAGGTTTTCGAGCAAACTTTTTTTAGGGACTATTTTTGTTTTAGCCGTTATTTTAAGGATAACTTTCGAAGGCCGCCTTTTTCGTCCGAGCGCCCCAGAAACCTAGCATAAACCCTGCTCGTCACCTCTTCCGCCCTTAGCCTGGTTCAGCTTGGCTCCGCCCCACTTCGGCCCATGTTTGTCTTCATTCCTCGAGCCGCCGATGGGCTTTGCTTCCTCAGCTGTGCTTGAGGCGGTTCGGAAGAGCGTTACAGTACAGGTTCGGAATTCTGGTTCTGGTTGTGGTGACCAATTAGACAAATGGTTGTGGTTCTGGTGGCACTGTACGTTTCACGTGGAACACTTTTTCGCTGATCGCCGTGCCGCGAAGATACAGTATTGTTTAGCATGCAGTTTGGCTCTAAGCAATTCACCCAGGACCCCGCACTGAGCAGATTGTTGACACGAATTATCTGACACGAGGTAGAACTCGCCCTGAAGCAAATGCCCCAGCCCACGACAAGCAGCCGAAGTTGGGCCCGCCACCGAAGCCGCGTTACCGTGTGTCACGGGCACGGCTGGGAGGTGGAATAAGCGGCTTGGCTACTGTGGTTGGATGGAGGATGGTGATTGGCCGGGTTTGTCGTCGCAACCAACAATAAGCGAATCGCGTCAAGAAACGCTGAACATTTCCAACAAGGAAAGTCACGACATGTGGAAGTACGTTGGTGTAATGAAGCTAAAAGAGCGTGTGTGTTTTGAATTTTAACTCAAGAGTAGAGCGCAGAAATCTATAGGGGAACGTGAGTATAATGTTGTCCAGAATAATGAGACCTAGGCAATATATAGGTGTGTTGACCAGGGTTGAATGTCGAGGGTTGGACCCGTCAAGGGATCGATAGTCCCGAGGGCGACGGGGTCAAAATGGGTTCGGAGCGACTCGGGATTAGGTTGGGCCGAAAAGGTCGACGGGGGCTGGTTTGGCGCGTGACTTGAGGGCTGAGCCTGCGGAACCGAGAGGTTCGCGTGTACTCGCTGTGGCGAGCCCCAGAAAGAAATCGTAATTCCTTACAGAATGTCAAATGATTGATTAACGAGGAAACAATACAACTAAGGCAACATCAAAACAGGTGGGAGCATGGATATAGCTAGCCTAGGAGCGCGCGGTCGTGGCTCAGCAGGGCTGCGACGTGTGATTCAAAAATTGGCATGAAGCGCCCAGATCTAGGCATGAAATAGTAAATCGGGCAATAATGCATGCGGCTCGTCAGGAGGCCACATTGTTAAATTTTATTTGTCATATAATTGTAGGCTTGGTAGGTGTTACTGAACTCTACTGTAGAGGGTACAACTCCCTCCTTGTATGCCTCTCTCTCTTCCATTCCAACTCTCTTTTCCCTCTAAACTTTACTCTCCTAGGTCCTAGCTCCGAAACCCTCACGCCATTCCATGGACGCCCTTCCTTCCTAGCTAGGTTAGTCTTCTAACATGGAATCAGAGTTGTTCGTTCCTTGTGGGCCTGCTTCTCACGCTTCCCCCACGCTCTTCTACTCTCTCGCTCTCTCTCTCTCGCTGCCATGGCGGCCGCGTCTCGCTGCCATGGCGGCCGCGTCTTGCTGCCGTGGACGCGTCGTCGTGCCGTCGGTCGCGCCGTGCTGCCGCGGCCGTCACGACGCGTTGTTGTGGCGTTGAGCTGTCGTAGCGTCGACGTCAAGCCGTGGCGGCGTCGGCGTCGACGTCAAACTGTAACGGCGTGACGGCGCCGTCGTGCTGCCGCGGCGTCTACGCGGCAGCGCGCGGACGGCATGGACGGCAGCGGCCAGTGCCTCTTCTTAGCGCTAGCCAGCACGCCCGCATGCAGCCAGCGCGCCACACGGGGCGGCACGCTCCCGAGCTCCGCTGCTGAAGCCCCGCCCCCCTTCCACTGCGTCCCCTCTTCCTTGCCGCAGCCGACGGCTACCGTCGCGGAGCCCGGCCACGCCGCCGAGTGCTGCGAGCTCCGCCGCCGCGGCAGCTGTCGTCAAAGCCGCCACCGCCGCAGCTGGTGCCGCTGGACACGCCGCCGGCGCTGCCGATGTCGACGCTGCCGCCGTTGCAGCCGTTGTCCTCGTTGTCAACGTCGTCCCACCTCACGCGCCGTGGGGTTGACCGTGCTGAAGTAGCAGCCGCTGTTACTAAGTATGGGGCTGCTAGGTTAGGGGGTGTGGGTGTGTGTGGGCTTGCAACTACCAAGCCTAGGGGGTGTGTTAAATTATATTTGTTATATAATTGTAGGCTTGGTAGGTGTTAATGAACTCTACTGTATAGGGTACAACTCCCTCCTTGTATGCCTCTCTCTCTTCCATTCCAATTCTCTTTTCCCTCCAAAATTTACTCTCCTAGCTCCTAAACCCTCACGCCATTTCATGGCCGCCCTTCCTTCCTAGCTAAGTTAGTCTTCTAATACACATTTGGGACTGAGATTTGAATTTCATGGAAGAGCTGCGCGGCAACCCCGTTATAGCAGTGTACGCCTTACTAAACTAAACCCGTGATAAGGAAATACCATTTCCTTACACCCTCCCTACTCCGAGGTATGGTCTTAGTTAAGACCGCCGACATCGCGTGCATTGCGTGACTGGAGTTAGACTCGTAATACCGGGTAATTCTCGATCTGTGCTAGGGGCACCCAACTGTTTTGCAGGGCCGTCCGATCCTTCCAACATATCAGAAACTCGATCAGGCGAGCCCCTCGAGAGTCCTTGATTCGATTGTTGAGAACTTTCGTAGGTTCGACACTAGCCTTGGCGACCGGTCGAATGTTCAGATTCGCTCGGTACCATGGTAGCTTACTGGCACTAGCGATATATGGTCGAAGAAATCGCACGTGGAATAATGGGCTGACGTTCCATGTGCCTGGTAATAGTAGATGGGCTGTCACGGAAGATATCATGCGGCTGATGGCAAATGGTCCACAGTAGCAATGGCGAAGTTTCGGGACGATGGGCTGTCGAAGGTTCTGGGTGTCGAGTAGAAATAAGTCTTCGGCCTAACAAGTTACTGGCCGTCAGAATAGATCCGCGTTGCACTTAGAAATAGCATTCGCACGCTTAATGGCTTCGGCTGCTCGTTCCCCGACATTCTGTAATATTTCGGCGAACTGTTGGGCTCCAGGTACAGGATTTTTTATGTTGGGCGCGATGGGTACTGTAGGGTTCAGTCCGTAGTTAAGGTAAAATGGTGAGTGTCGCGTAGTGGCTGACGGGACGTTATTATACGCGAACTCAATCAGTGGCAGTTGCTGCTACCAGTCGGCCACGTCATCGCAGGTGGCACGAATCAGCTGCTCCATTTTTTTATTGGCCCGTTCGGTCTGTCCGTCAGTCTCGGGGTGGTAGGCGGAAGATAATTGCAGGCGAGTACGAACTGTTCCCAGAGGTTGCGCCAAAAATTACTGGTGAATGATGGCGAATGGGATTCCGTGGAGGCGGACGACAGTTGAGATGAAGACGCGGGTTGTTTCTTCGGCTGAGATACTTTTCTTGCAGGCGGCGAAGTGGGCCATCTTCGTCAACTTATCGACGACGACGAATATCGTATCATTACAACTGTCCTCGGCAGGCAATCCCGTCACGAAATCCATCGTCACTTGCCGCCACGCGCGCTCAAGCGGCGAAATCGGTCGTAACTGTCCAGCTAGCTTCTACTTCTATGATTTCATGGTTTGGCAGGTTCGGCATGAAACCACATGCCGCTGCACGTCCCTTTCCATGTCGGGCGAGAAATAGTATCTGGTCAACTGCTTACGGGCTCCACTCCAAAGTGCCCCGAAACGGTACTGTCGTGAGCTTCCTGTAAGAATAATTCACGTAATAAACTGTACTCTGGTACCCATATGTGGTCAATCCCTGACTTTACGTAATAGACCCCCTTAGTCGTTGCGAGCTGTTCGTACGCGCCCGACGTAATGAATCTGTCTGTCTGGTACCCGTGGGTAAATAGGCATGTTAATAGCGAGGAAGTCTGAGCAAGGATTATGGAGTTGAGATGGGCGGATGGGCGAGAAAGGGGGTCTGCAATGTTTGATGCCCCTTTCTTGTAGGTGGAAATCCAACCACCGAATGTGTCGTGGGTTGAGTAGTGGCTGTGCGCGGATGTACTGTAGGCTTTAGTGGTCTGTCCGTACCGTCACGATCGCGCCCGTCAGG